GCGTGAAGGGGGACCTTCAAGCGGCCTCACCCCTGCCGAAACACGAAGCACGCGCAACTGGGCTTGTACTTAAGGGGAGTGGACACGAGGTCCCATGGGAATTACGGGCCACATGGTCCCACCTCTCCACCAAATCCGCGATCCCCGTGCCTGGGAACCCACTCCAATGCTACGGGCGCTGCTGACGCCACCAGCGGCAATGCGAGGACGCCAAGCCGCTTGGTTCCCAAAGAAAATGGCCGGCTGCACCTCACCGAGCTGGCGGACAAAGCTCCTGACAGTGTGCCCCGTGGAGTGTGTGGCACTGACACCATGAGAACAGGGAAGGAGGAGGAGATGGAGGAGTATGGAATGGAGAGGTCGATGGAAGGTTGGGGCATCTGGTGAGGCATCTGGTTGGCAGTTTGGGGGCGTTTTTGGGAGAATCTTGGGCGGCTTCTTGGGAGTCTTTTGGGGGCTTCCAGGGGCTTCCTAGGGGCTTCTTGGGGGCGTCTTGAAGGCATCTTGGGGGCCTCCTCAGATCTTATCAGGGGCGAGGGCTTGAGATGTCCGTTCGGGTCCGCCGTCTGGGCGCCCTCTTGGAGCCGTCTTGGGGCCCTCTTGGGACATTTTGGGAAACTCTTTTGAAGGACCTTGGGCCGTCTTGGGGCGATACTCGGGGCCTCTTGGGCCGTCTTGGGGCGTGGGGGAGCGGAAGAGGCGAGAACGCCCCTATCAAAACGTAACAGGAAATTGATGGATGTGCTCCTGGAGGCCTCTTGGGGCGTCTTGCAGGCCTCACGGGCCGTCTGGAGGTCGCCAAGGCCTTCTAGGACAGATCGTTCGGCAATTCGGGGCCTTCTTGGATCGTCTTGGGGGCCTCTTCGGGCACTCGTGGCCCGTCATGGGGCTTTGTTTGGAACCCGACCCCCCTGGGCCTATCTCGAGACCCCCCCGGGACCCCCCACCCGACGGGGGAGGGATCAAAGGGAATGGGCTTTCCTTCGACTGAAATACGACGTTGCTCAATTTCGCTTTGGCTGGCGCGCTTGAGGAGGAGGGCCCAGGAAAAGGGAAAGGAGCGGCGACGGGCCCAGGAAAATGGAGCCCGCAGGGCAAGGGGACGACAGAGACGACGACGAACGAATGACGGAGACGACGACTCGAACAGACAAGCCCCTCACACACACACACACACACACACACACACACACGCACGCACGCACGCACGCACGCACGCACGCACGCACGCACGCACGCACGCACGCACTCACACACACACACACACACACACACACACACACACACGCACACACACACACACAGACACGCACACACACACACAGACACACACGCACACACGCACACACGCACATACGCGCACACACACATCCCGACAGGGTCGGCGGATTCCCCCTCCTTCTAATCCTGGATGACCTGATCGTCCTTCCTCCGTCCCCGGCGATCCGCCTCCTGCCCCCTGCTCCCCATTGTCCTTCTCTCTCCCCGCTCTCGTTTCGCTCGTCCACTTCATCTTCCTATCCCTGCTCTCCCCCGCATTTCTCCCCTTTGCGTCCAACTCGCTCATCCCCCTCCATTCTCTTTCCCTCCCCTCGCCGCTGCTCTCCCTCGCCCTCAACCCCCATTTGCTCCTCATGTGTTTCACCTTTCCCCTCGCCGTCCACCTCTCCTCCTCCTCCTCCTCCTCCTCCTCCTCCTCCTCCTCCTCCTTCGCTCCTCCTCCTCCTCCTCCTCGTCCTCCTCCTCCTCCTCTTTTTCTTTTTCTTGTTCCTCCTCCTCCTCCTTCCCTCCTCATCCTCCTTCTCTTCCTCCTCCCCCTCCTCCTCCTCCTCCTCCTCTTCCCCCCACCTCCCCTTCCTTATTCCCACCTCTCTCCCGACCCTCGCTTTCACAACTACTCAATATGAGTGCGACACTCCTCCCTCCGCCGATTCCGTTACGAGCGGCCCCCCGCTTCTCCCGCATATTGTGTGATCGTTTCTTTCGCATGGGATTTAACCAGCCTGATGTTTCATCTGTGTTTGATTCCACGCCAGTCGTTGAAAGCAGGTACTTCTGCATTCCCCGATCCCAGTGTACTTCAAGCGCCTTCTTACTTCAATGTTTGGCGTGTTGTTGTTGTGTTGCTGCTCTCTCTGGGTGGGCCCAGACCCAGTCTACGTCATCCTCCTTCCTACTTGCTGTCTCTACCTACTTCCGACTGACGGGTGTACAGTCGGAATTCTGCTCGACGTCTCAGCATGGTGCTCCCGCTGCGGCGCTGGCCTCGCTTCGGGATTGGCGCTGTGCCCCCGTCGCTCAGCGCGGCGCTCCCGCCCCCGGCGCGGGCCGCACTTCTGGATCCGAGGGCCTCCTCGTCGGTATCGCCCCCCCTCCCTCCTTCCCCCCTCCCCGCCCTCCCCGGCCCTCGTGTTCTCTTCCTTGCCTTCCTGCCGCTGCCGTCCTTCCGCCTCCTCCTCCGCCTCCTCCCTCGTCCTCCGTTTTCTCCCCGCCCGTCGCCTTGCTCACCCTCCCTCACCTGGTCTCAAGCAGGCCCGGGCTGCTGTGCGCACTGGTGGTCGTTCGTTCGTTCGTTCGTCTGTTCGCTCGCTCGTTCGTCTGTTCGTTCGTTCGTTGCCACCCGCCCGAGGGATGTGGGACTCCCGCGGGATTCCTCGGAGGCACCTGCACTCTTGCGACCTGGATGCTCGGCGTCCCGTGAGATCTGGGGCCACCACGAGGGCGCGAAGTCGGCCGCGGTCTTCGCGGTCTTCTAACAAAAAAAACACGGAATATTTGTCATGGGCTCGGCGAGAACACAGTTCTGCGGTAAACCAATTCTGCAGTCGATCCTCGATTCGAGGTCTGGGCGATTGGCGATCGCAGAGCGAGGCGCGAGTCCCTCGTCGCGTTCCGGGGGGTGCAGCGGGGCGGCGCGAAGGCGCGCAGAGAATCGCGCGCCGCGCTTCCAGGAGCGCGAGGGCGCGAAGCTGCCTGCCCCAAACCAGGTTCTGGCGATCCGTTTTTTCTTTCGCTCGGCGAGCCCGCGAGAGTCGTGGGACGCCGAGCGCCCCGTCCTCGCCGGACTCGCAGCTGGCGCGCCGCGCGCCAGGATCCGGACAAAGGATGCCGCCGCCTCATACTTGTTGTTGGTGAGGCACGCACGCGAGAGATGTAACGTGTTACGTGAAACGGGGGATGACCGAAATCAAGGGTGAAGAGAAGGGCCCTCAAGGGGCCCTCCTCTTCACCCCCCCATCTCGGTCACCCCCCATTACCGCCCCCCCGAACATCCCGCGCGTTTCGCGAACTCAGGCGTCCCGCGAACTTCGCGGGACGCCGAACGGATTTTCACTGGATGCTCGCTGGAATTTCGAGACATCCCGGGAATTGATCGGGCATCTCGCATCCCGCAAATTTCGCTGCATTCGGCATCCCGCCAGTTTCGCCAAGATCTGCTTTCGGAGAGCAGATCCTGCGATCATGGCGAAGTTCAGGGCTGTGGCAATCAGGGCCCTGGCTCCACATGGAGGGGGGAAGAAGTGGGGGGAGGAGAAGGAGGATGAGAGGGACGACGACGGCGACGAGGAAGTTGGGGAGGGGCGAGGACGACGAGGGGGGTGGAGAGAGACGAGGACGACGAGGACGACGAGGGGCGAGGACGACGAGGAAGACGAGCAGGAGGAGAGGGAGGGAGAGGTAGGAGATGGATACAGACAAAGGGAGAGAGAAAGAAAGAGAGAGAAAGGGAGATGGAGAGAGGGAGATGAAGACAGAGAGAAGAGAGATATATATATATATATATAGAGAGAGAGGGGGGGGGAGAAGGAGACGAGACGGTCGAACATCTTGCGGGGAGCAGCAGCGAAACGAGCCTGTGCCGCCTCGGCCCTGCGCTCGGCCTCGGCCTTAGCCTCCAGCCGGGCGTCCTCCCCAGCCTTGCGCTCGGCCTCCTGTCTGGCCCTTCGCCTGGCCTCCTCGGCCTCGCGCGCTGCCTCCCTCTCCTCCTCGGCCCTCAGCCTGGCCCGCTCCTCCGCGGCCCTGCGCTCGGCCTCCTCGTTCGCCCTCAGCCTGGCCGCCTCGGCCTGCAGCTCGGCCTCCTGCACACCCGCGGGGGGGGGGGCAGGCGGCGAGGATGGCCACGGAGGGCGCCTCAAAGAGCATGCAGCCATCGCGCTGCCAGGAGGGGCCGAGCGAGGAGCCGAAGGGTGCTTCTGGCCACGGCGAGCCTCTCCCGCGAATGGGTTCCCCGACCTATGCCCAGCTCGGGCCTGTCCCCCGACAGGGGGATTTTGGACGACAAAGGAAAACATACCCAAAGAATGCGCCACAAAAATGCAAAAAATGCTCAAAACATTGTCCCCAGACTATTTCTTTACCATTTTGGAGTATACCCCCTGCAGAGGGACAGGCCCGACTTAATCCTCGATCCAAGGAACGGCCCGAGAACCCGAGGCCCTCCTGAGCCCCACGTGGTCCTGATTTCAGCTTCCTGACTGTAGCCTGATCGCAGAGCTGAGACCGCAACATGGAATCGTCGAGGTCAACCGCAGCACCAAAGAAACGTCAGCACAAGGCTGAACCTAAACGGTGTTTTTCGTTTTCGTTTTGTTTTGGTTCTCACTCGTTTTGCCTTCAATCCGCCTTTACCGCAAAACGAAGGCCCGCGAAAACGCCAAGACGCCGTTTAGGTCCAGCCCTGCGTAACTTCTGACGCGCGCCGATGCGAGAGCACCTTTCCAGGGTGTGGCCGAGGGTTTGGGTAAGGACTGAACGATATGTCCTGATCCAAGCGCGATCCTAATGCATCCACTGCCTTCTGGTAGAACACATATCCGAACAAGCTCAGAAGGCAACTCCTGGAAGGTCTTCGTTGGAACGATGAAAGGCGGTTAAGCTCGATTGAAGGGCCACTTCACCGGATCAAGCTGGATTACGTCCGGGATCAACCTGGATTAAGCCAGGTTAAGCGGGACGTGATCTAGATCAAGCCAGAGATCGGCCGCGAGAAGACCAGCGCCGATACAGACGTTGACCTCCCGAGAGTTGCATCCTAGACAAGCTAAGTATCATAGCGCGAACGCATGGTGCGAAAGACAAGCCCAAGCCCAACTGCCACAGAGACAAAAACAGAGCGGTCTGCTGACGGGCCGCGGTGAGCCAAGCCCTCGGCGGCGCTCGGAAGCAGCGCCGGGGCACAGAGCGAAACCTGGCACAGCATGGGCATCGGAGCAACTGCCTGCTAGAAAGGAGATGAAGAGGAAGAGGAGGTCGTTCCCATGAAGAAAGGGACACATTTTGGAAGCATCATGTGGCACGTCACGACGTCACCTCGCTCTCGTGTGCTTCGAACTCTTAACAAGCTTTGCATCGGTCTGACCCGCGCTGCTCTTCACTGCCTTGATAAGGGAACAAACAAGGGCATAAACATAAACTTTTGACCGTCCGCGCGGATTTCTTGGATCTGCGCTGGACCCCCCTCTCTGGCGCGCGGAGCGCGCCAGGGGCGGCGCGGGAGGCGCCCCCAGGGGGCCCAGCGCAGATCCGCGCGGAGCGCCGAAAGTTTGTGTTTGTGGCGTTTCTTCATCGTCGATTTGAGCTGCTCAGCGGAGGGTTCCTCTGAACTCGGCGGCGAGCGAGAGGGGGAAATGAGAAGGAGAGGACCTTCTCAGAAGGCTCGGAAGCCCCACGGCCTTATGACAATTTTCTAAACCTTCCCCGAAACACACAAAAAACTGCTCAGAAGGCGCGAAGGTTTGTAAGAAGGCCTTCTCCTTCTCACTTCCCCCTTTCGCTCACCGCCGATGAACCACTTGCTCCCGCTCGCCTTCCGCCTGGCCTCCTCCTCCTCCTCGGCCCTGCGATCCGCCTCCCGCTTGGCCCAGAGCCTGTCCGCCTCCTCGGCCTCGCGCCAGGCGTGCGTCGGAGGGGGGGGAGGAGGCCGACGACGAGGGCTGCAGCAGCAGCAGGGCAGGAGGAATGGAGCTGGAGAATGAGGCCAAGTCTGGAGGAGGATTGCAATAGTTTTGACCTGACAGGGGACCACCCGCAAGGATTGCAGGAGGAGTAGGAGTAGGAGTAGGAGTAGGAGTAGGAGTAGGAGTAGGAGTAGGAGTAGGAGTAGGAGGAGGAGGAGGAGGAGGAGGAGGTGAGGAAGAGAGCGACGACGGAGGGGCAGTAGTAGACGACGGCGGCGGCGACGACGACGACGATGATGACGACGACGATGACAGAACGGATGAGGATGGCAGGAACCAGAGGCTTGCGCTGCGCTCCGCCTGAACAGAGGCCACTCTGACGTGTGCGTGGATGATAACATCCACATCGGCCCGCCCTCGTCGCCAGGGTCGTCCAAGCAATGGATACACCTGCTTTCAGCTGCCGAACTGGCCAATTCCACAACAGCCCGCGGGCGATACAGCGAAGCCATGTCGCACTACCAATCGGTCGGAAGAAGTGGGTAGAAACATGCCATAGGAACACGTTGAAAATAGATTGCGTGTCCGCCCGCCCCCTGAAGAGGACGGAACAAATGAAGCCACTCGATCATTGCAATCGGAAGGCGCTCAAAGTAGATCGGAATCTGGGACTCCAGAAATACCTGCTTTCAACGACCGAAGGGTATCATGGAAACCCCACGGCATGCCCGCGAGCACCAGCAGCATGCCTGTGAACACAACAGCGCCACCAAGGCCAACGGAGGTCCCGAGGCTACCGCCGCCGCACTGCGCAAGGGAGCACCCCGGCACGCCTGCGCGCGCCATGCCATGCCTGCGGGCGCTGCGAGCGGTGCGCGGGAGCCGCGGCATGCAAAGCGCGCGGCCGCCGCGATAGCCTGCAAACGCCTCTACGTGCCGATTCACAGCCACGGGCCACGACCAGGGTCGAGGAAGGACATGGCAGATGAGAAGGAGTAGGAGGAGGGATACTCTGTAGTAGGAGAAAGAGGAAGAGGAGGAGGAGGAGGAGGAGGCGGAGGCGGAGGAGGCGGAGGAGGTAAGACCGCCTTAAACACAGAACACACCAACGAGGTTGCAATAAACTCGCCCTCCAAATTCCCTCTTCATAAATCCCTACGACAATATAAGTTCACTGCGTGAAATGTCCCGTCGGAAAAAAACAACAGTCTTATAATGTTCAATCGTGCCAAAACACCAATCGTTGGACTTGAACGCCGCGAATCAACATTACTGTTGCGTCCTGACGGTCTTGAATCGCGCCATAACACCATTCCTGGGACCTCAGCACAGCGAATTGACGTGACTCTTGCGTCCTGACAATCCTAAACCACGTCGGTATACCATTCCTGGGACGACAACCATACGAGTGCGCTGAACTGCCAGACGTTTAAAACTAATGTGCGCGGAACTAAGGCGGAAGCCCAATTTTGTAAACAAAGCGTCCTCCATCCATGAACCGCTTGCGAACGTTGAACATGAATGTTAGCGGCGCGAGGGCCTAGGGCGAAAGCCATATTTGTGCACCGACCCGCCCTCTATCCTTAAAGAAGCTCATGCAATGTTGTAAAACGAATACGCGCGACGTTGCAAACATTATAAGACAAATGTGCGCGGTGCTCGGGCGAAAACCACAATTAAAAAACGGCCAGTCCTCCAATCGTGAAACGCTGGCACGCTGTGAAAACCTATGGCGCACTGCTACAAAGAATTTGCGCGGTGCTGAAACATGAACCACATTTTGAAAACGGCCCGCCCGCCATCCGTGACACGGTTTCAGGTTTTAGCTTCAGGATCACAAACGAACTGGTAAGGACATCTCAGGCGAAACGCCAGGCCCACCCTACCGACACGTCTCGGGGTGCGACAGAGAGATTTCCTTCGAATTTACAAGGGTGGAGGAGGAGGGAGGAGGGAGAAGTGGGGAAGGAACGAGGATTGCGGAAAGAGGGGGGAAGGGGACGAGGATAAGGAGGCGGAGGAGGGGGGAAGAGGAAATGGAGGAGGAACAGGACGAGGAGGAGGAAGACGATGAGGAGGAGGAGGAGGAGGAGGAACACGATGAGGAGGAGGAGGAAGAAAGGGAGGGAAGGAGGGAGGGAGGGAGGGAAGGAGGAGGAGGAGGAGGAGGAGGAGGGAGGTATGGAATGAGAGACTCTGCCTCGGCGGCGCGGTCGGCCTCCTGTGCCTCCAGGAGGTGCGCGCCCTCCTCGGCTCCGCGCTTGGCCTCTTGCGGGAGCCCAAGCGCGCGCGCCGTCGTCGCCGAGGGAAACACACTTGTTTGTTTTCCCGCAAACCCCAACGATCAAGAACGGCGGGCGGAGAGACGGTGGGACCACGAGCCGCAGCCCGAAAACCCTTCCCCAGCGTGTGGCACACTCCCCTGCTCTTTGGGCCGCGCCCAGAGGCCTGGCTGCAACCGGCCAGCATCCAAAGCCTTGACCACCCTCCCCCCCGCTCCCTACGAAACCCGGACTTTGTCAGCGCCCTTCCTCGTCAGCCGAGGAGGTAGGGCTGGGAGGATAAGGAGGGGAAAGGAAATTGATAATGAGGGAAACAAACAAATCCTACCAGCCGTTTAGGGCGTGAGTGGATTAGCGGGTCTGCTGTTCCAAACTCCTTTTTTCCCCCTTCGGGTGGGGGTTTATCGCTGTTCCCTATTACTGACCACCCCCTCCCCCAGGCGACCGGCAGCCAACAAGGACCAATGAACCCCCCACACACCTTCCCTATCAAGAACGGTGTGAAGTCCACTTCGGGGCAACATTTTGGATCATGATCGGGGGGGCGCGAGCACTTTGCAAGTTTGTTTCACAAAGACGGCGGGGGTCCCCGCATATTGCCTGCTGCTCGCAGGACCAGCATCCCTGGCCCCCAAGATGGTGCAAAATTCACTTCGAGGCCTAATCTGGATCATGCGCGGGCCCCCGCGACCACTGCGTATTTGTTTTTCTCGGGCGGCAGGGGTGCTGGCAGATTGCCTGCTGTGTGCAGGCCCACCAGACACAGTCAATGGCCACCCCGCCACGATTGCGCACTGGTTTTCGACAGGGGTGGTGGGGGCCCGCGCCTCCCTGGCCGAGCCAGGAAGGCGCACGCACCGTTCTCTCCTCCACCTTCGCGTTCTCTTCACCTCGGGGCCACCCAGAAGCCAGAATGCAACAAAAGCCTCCTCGGCTGGGCGCTGCAGGCGCTGAGGACTGGAAGCGCTGATGGCTGCGGGCGAAGATTGGTAGCACTCGCCGCTGAGGCCTGAGCACTAAGGGCCGGGCGCTCGAACCATGGTGGGCCCCAGCATTGAAAAGGGGAAGCCTGAAGCACCGAGGGCTGAGGCTGCTGGCGGAATGGGCTGCCCTCAGTCCGTGAATCTCCCCCCTCCCTGGCGCCTCCCTGGCCGAGCCAGGAGGGTGCACGCACGATTCTCCTACATCGGAGGCGCCCAGGAGCCAGAATGTAAGAGAAGCCTCGTCCCCATCTTCCTCCTCGTCCTCCACCACATCCCTGCGTCCTCGCCCTCCTCGCGCTCTGCCGTCGCCCGCGCCTCGCCCTCCCTCGTCCCCTCCTCCCTCGTGCGCTCCCCGGGAGGGCGCGCGCGCGCGCGCCGACCCCCGGGCCCGGGCTCCGGCACCCCCCCGAAGAAGCGCCGAAGCAGAGACGAAGCGAGACGCTCCAGAGGACCAAAGAGGCCTCCCAAGAAGGCCTCCCAAAAAGGCCCCACGAGGGCCAAAGATTACTGACTCTCCGCAGGTTTCTCACGGGTCTTTGCCTACTTGTTCGTCTTTTCGGCCCACCAGCGCTCCAAGTCGGCCCAAGGGGCCTCCAAGACCGCCCCAAGACGGCCCAAGCCGCCCCCAAGAGGGCCCCAGGACGCCGCGGGAGCCACGCGGGACCCCAGGAGGGCCCCCAAGGGTCGGACGAGGGGGCGGGGGAGAATATGTAGGGGCCCGACCACAAGAAACCGTCCACAAGAAACCCAGCCCTGCGACCCTAGGGCGTCCATTGATTTTTGGTGTGGGAACGCCAAGCTTTCCGTAGCAAAGCCATGGAAACCCAAGAAGCACAGGGCACCCTGGAGGCGAGCAGGGTGTTTCTTGGCCTGGGCCTCCACTTTATAGGGGGTTCACGAAGCAGCTCACGTTGCTGGTTCTCCCAGCGCCTCGTGGAGCACGAGGCCCCCCTGCATCGAGGAAAGCGCCTGGCGGCGGGGGCCGAGATCCGCGGCATGCCGCAGCTCTCGTGCCTCCCTCTTTCCTTACATCCCCCCCCTGGAGGGCAAGCCACGAAGGCTGTGGCCAAGACTGAACGCGATAACGTCGGTGCCGATGCGTCCAAATTGGATCAATTTCGCGAATCGGCGACGGCGGGCATGGACCATGACCAAGGCCGGCGTCGACAAGATCACGCGATAATCATCTTGGTCGCGGTCATCGTCCGACCAAAGAAAAAACCCTGCGGCGGCCCGCGCCTCCGCTTCCCCTGTGTCCCCCGGATACTCCTCGCTTGGTCTTCGGGTCATACCTCGGGTCTGTAGCAGCCCTTCGGGACGATCTGGGCACCCGCGGAATGCTCTCGGCGCGGCGCGGCGCGGCTGCTGGACAGCAGCCCGAGGCTGGAAAGCCGCCGAGAAGAACCGACGGAAGCGCTTGGAGACCTCGAACCAAAACCCCTCCCCCACACCCCCGCAGGTCGTCCGACCCGAGACAAACGGCCCCGAAGAGACGCCCCTCCCCAAGTTAAGTCGGGCATGTCCCTCTACAAGATGAGTATTGAACAATGAAGAACAAATTCGCCGGCCCAACGGGCCAAGAGCGTGCAAAGATCTCTGGTGACTGGTAAAAAATATAACAATATTTTAGTTCGCGCGCGCGGGGCCGCCCCTGGGGGTCCCCAGACGAAAAAAAAAAAAAAACGTAAATCCCGGCAAGGTCCTGGCCGGATCCCGGGCAGGTCCTGGGCAGCTCCCGGCCAGGTCCCAACAGGCTCCCAAGAGCCTCCAGGAGCGCTTCGACTGGAATCCAAGAGAGCTTCACATGGCCCGAGACGGCCCACGAGCGATCCAAGACGCCAAAGATGGCCTCCAGACAACCCAAAGCGCTTGCAAGACGCCCCAAGAGGCCTCCAAGAGACCTCCCAAGACAACCCACAGAGGCAGAAATGCGTGATTTTCCTATAATTGTTGCAAGTGTGTTTTGGCATTCTCCCCTTGGGAGCTTACCAGCGCTCCAAGACGGCAGAGGCTTCCAGGATCGCCCCAACATGGCCCAAGAGGCCTCCAAGAGCGCCTCCGCTAGCCCTCCAAGGGCGACCACAACGGCCCGACAGGGCCCCTGGACAGCTCCAGAAGCTTCCAAGATGGCTGAAGAGGCCCCCAAGACGGCCCCAAGAGCGGGCCAAGACGAGGGACCCGAACGGACCTGTCGAGCTCGAGGCGCAGAGAGGTTCCCTGGAGGCCTCGAGAAAACCCCAGGAAGCTTCCAGGAGGCCCCCAAGAGACCCCCAAGAGCCCCACGAGGACCCCTAGAGGGCCCCGCGACGCCCCAGGAGGCTCAGAAATACCGCCAAGAGGCCCCCGAGAGCCCGCCTATTGTCTCACTAACCCTTCCTTCTTTCTTCCCTCTCCTCCTCACCCCCCCTCTGCGTCAACGACTCTCAATCCTCGAATGAAAACGCTCCGCCAAGAGGCCCCCGACAGGCCTACTATCGTCTCACAAACTCTTCTTTCTTTCTTCCCTCTCCTCCTTCTCCCCCCTCTCGTCAACGACCCTTACTCCTTGGACGAAAGGCGCCACAATAAATCATCACGACAGGGATGAATCAACATGTCGAGCTCCCGGCCCTAAGAAGGCCCCAGGAGTCCCCAAGAGGCCCCTAAGGGACCCCAAAACGCCCCAAACAGGCCCCCAGGAGGCCACCAAGAGGCCCCCAAGCGGCCCCAGGAGGGCCCCAGGAGGAACAATTCATTGCTTTTCCTGAGGTTTTAAAGACTTTGGCGTCTCCACCTTTTCGGCTTCCCGAAACCCCAAGACGGCCCAAAAAGCCCCTAAGACCGCCCCCAAAAAAGCTCCAAGACGGCCCAAGAGGGCACGGGAACGGCTGAAGAGGCCTCCAAAACGGCTCAAAAAGGCCCCAAGAACGCCCCAAGAGAGGTCCCAGGGGGGGAACACGAATCGACATGTCGAGCTCTCGGCCCTAAGAAGGCCCCAGGAGTCCCCAAGAGGCCCCTAAGAGACCCCAAGACGCCCGCAACAGGCTCTCAGGAGGCCCCAAGAGGCCCCCAAGCTGCCCCAGGAGGGCCCCAAGAGGCAAAAGGCAGTGCTTTTCCGTAGGAGTTGGAGAGGTGTTGGCATTTCCATTTGTTCGGCTTCCCCACACCCCAAGACGGCCCAAGAGGCCCCCAAGACCGCCCCAAGAGGGCACAAGAGGCCCCCCAAGAGGGCCCCCAAACGGCCCAAGACGGCTCCAAGAGGCTTTCAAGACGGCCCCAAGAACGCCCCAAGAGAGGTCCCAGGGGGGGGAACACGAATTAACATTTCGAGCTCTCAGCCCTAAGAAATCCCCAGGAATCCCCAAGAGGCCCCTAAGAGGCCCCAGAAGGCCCCCAACACGCCCTCAGGAGGCCTCCGAGAGGCCCCCAAGCGGCCCCAGGAAGCCCCCCAAATACCCCCCGAGCACGCAAGCAAGTGCCAACGACGACACGACGCGTTTAAGAGTCCCCACAAGTCCACTAAGAGGCCTCCCGAAAGAGTCCCCATAGGCGACACGTTTCCAGACGGCCTGCGACGCGTTCAAGACTCCCCCAGCGGCCACCAAGAAGCCTCACATGCCGAACGCAAAACCTCCCCTGCAGCTCCGCACCGCGAAAGACAACTCGGTTTATCGACAACGGCACGCAGTTATGGGCCGGCGAAATGAGCGAAGCGATTCAATAACTCATCACGACAGGAATCGAAAGGCCCCCTCTTCATCCTCACTCTCCCCTCTTCCTCCTCCTCCTCCTCCTCCTCCTCCTCCTCCTCCAAACCCTCCTCTTCCTCCTCCTCTTCCTCCTTTTTTTCCCACCGTCCCCTCCTCCCCCTCCCCCCTCTGCTTCAACTTCCACCCCTCCCCCCTCTGCTTCAACGAACCTCCACTCTCCAACGAAGAGCGCTACAATAAATCATCAAGACGATACAATCAGTTTCTTTCCCCCCCCCCCTGCTCTGCATCGCTACCATGTCACACATCAATCCCACAAGCAGCCATGGAAGGGTTCCCGCCACCTTCGCCTGCTTGTCCTCCTTGTACCCCTCGTCTTCCTTTTCCCCTCTCTTTCTGTCCAGCTCCTCCTCGTCCTCCTCCTCCTACTCCTCCGCCTCCTCCTGCTCATCCTTCTCCTCCTCCTCCTCCTCATCATTGTCCTCCTCCTCCTCCTCCTCCTCCTCCTCCTCATCATCATCCTCATCCTCATCCTCCTCAGCATCAGCATCAGCATCAGCATCAGCATCAGCATCAGCATCAGCATCAGCATCATCATCATCATCATCATCATCATCATCATCATCATCAGCATCAGCATCAGCATCAGCATCAGCATCAGCAGCATCAGCAGCATCATCAGCATCATCATCATCATCATATCATCATCGTCATCGTCATCACACATCAGCATCAGCAGCATCAGCATCATCAGCATCAGCATAGTCAGCATCAGCATCATCAGCATCATATTCATCATCATCATCATCATCAGCATCAGCATCAGCATCAGCATCATCATCAGCATCATCATCATCATCATCATCATCATCATCATCATCATCATCATCATCATCATCATCATCACCACCACCCGACCCTCACCTAAAGGCAATACGCTGCGAGCTCTGACGCCCATCTAAGAGGCCCAGATATGTTCAACATACTCCAGAAATGCTGTGGCAACCGGCCAGGCCACGGCGCGGCGGCGGCCAGCGCCGCAGCCCCCGCAGCGGCCTCCCGCCCGCCCTTCGCGGCGCCGCCCCGCGGCCCCACCAGCGCCGCCCCCTCTGGGGGCCCTCGCGCGGGGGACTCCTGGGCCCGCCCGCGCGGCCGGGCGAGGACGCCCCGCCGCCGCTGCCGCCGCCGCGCTCTTGATGCGCCGCCGCCGCCGACGCCGACGCCGACGCCGACGCCGACGACGACGACGACGACGACGACGACGAGGACGACGCCTGCGGCGACGCCGTACGCTGGCGCCGACGCCGACAAAGACGCCGCCGCCGTCTCGCGGTCGTAGTTGCCGCCGCCTCTGCCGCCGCGTTCCAGTCGCCGCCGCCGCCAGAACCACGCCGCACAGCAAAGTCGCCACCGCCGTCGTCGGGGGAGGAGGGAGGTTGGGGGGGTGGGCCTGTCATCCCGCCGGATAGCACCTCCTGCAATTGACCCAAGTCAGGGAGGTGCCCAAAGGCAATTCTTTACGAGCTGCAAGCAGCCTGTGGGGACCTCCTGCAAGTCCACGTTCATTTACAGGATGTCCCCGAAGGCCACCAGGACTGCGCTTCTTGGAGCCTCTGGGGACCTCCCGGAATGAAAGCCAATCACGGGAGGCCCCCAGAGGCCGCCAAGACTGCGGCTCGGGGAGCCTCTGGAGACCTCCCGCAATTGAAGCCAATTACGGGAGGTCCCCAGAAGCCGTCAAGACTGCGGTTCTGGGAGCCTCTGGGGACCTCCCGTAATTGAATCAAATTACGGGAGGTCCCCAGAAGCCGCCAGGACTGCCCAAACTACGTTTATGGGGCCTCTGGGGATTTCCCGTAATTGAAGCCAATTACGAAAAGTCTCCAGAAACCGCCAGGACTGCGGTTCTTGGGGCCTCTGGCGACCTCCCGTAATTGAAGCCAATTGCGGGAGGTCCTCAGAGGCCGCCAGGACTTCGGTTCGGGGAGCCTCTGGGGACCTCCCGCGATTGAAGCCAATTATGGAAGGTCCCCAGAAGCCGCCAGGATTGTGGTTCTGGGAGCCTCTGGGGACCTCCTGTAATTGAAATCAGTTGCGGGAGGTCCACAGAGGCTCCCAAAACCAAACTCCTGGCGGCCTCTGGGGACCTCCTGGAAGCGGCGGCCTCTCTCTGGAGACCTCTCGCAATTGGCTTTAATTACGGAAGGTTCCCAGAGGCCCCCAAAACCATCACCCTGGCTGCCTCTGGGGACCTCCCGGAATTGGCTTCAATTACGGGAAATCCCCAGAATCTCCCAGAACCACGGTGCTGGCGGCCTCTGGGGACGTCCCAAAATAACTTTCTTCAATTACGGGAGGTCCCCAGAGGCCCCAGAAACACAATCTTGGCGGCCTCTTGGGACCTCCCGTAATTGGCTTCAATTACGGGAGGTCGTCAGAAGCCCAATCGCAGTCCTGGCGGCTTCCAGGGACCTCATGTACTTGGCTTCAATTACGGCTCCCAGAACCACTGTCCTGGCGGCCCCTGGGAAACTCCCGTATTTGGCTTCAATTGCGGGAAATCCCCAGAAAGGCTCACAGAACCTAACTTCTGGCAGCCTCTGGGGACCTCCAGTAATTGTTCTTACATTGCGGGAAATTCCCAACAGCTCCCAGAACCGCAGTCCTGGCGGCCTCTTGGGACCTCCCGTAAATGGCTTCAATTGCGGGAAGTCCCCAAACGCTCCCAGAACCGCAATCCTGGCGGCCTCTGGGGACCTCCCGTAAATAAGCGTGAAATTGCGGGAGGTCCCCACAGGCTGCTCGCAGCTCGTAGAGAACCGCCTCCTCTGGGCACCTCCCTCTAGTGGGTCAATTGCAGGAGGTGCTATCCGGCCGAAAAACTGGGGAGGAGGAGAGGTCGGAAGGGAGGGCGGGGGGGGCAGGGGAAGCGAGGAGGGGGAGGGAGGCAGGGGGGGGGGGGAGAAGAATAGGAGAGGAGAGGGGAGGAGAGGAGAGGGGAGGGGGCGGGGCGGGAGGAACGGGTAGGAGGAGGAGCAGGGGAAGAGGTGAGAAGAGGACGGAGGGGGGAGGAGCGAAGGGAGGATGTGAATCGAGGCGAGGAGGGAGGGGGGGCGGTCCAGCGGTGGCGACGAGGGCCGCCCGGGAGGCCCCAAAAAAGGGGAAACAGAGGGAAGGGCAATTGGCGGTGTGGGCACCCTCTTTCTCTTCTGATCGAAGGGGGGGGCATGGAGGAGAGGAAGGAGAAGAGGACGGGGAGGGAGGGCAGGGAGGGAGGGAGAGCACAGGCGCGGGGGACATGGAGGACAGGCATGGAGGAGGAGGATCTTGTCCAGCAGCAGGCCAGGCACGCGCGCGCGTCGTGGGCGCTGGCGCGCCGACGCCGGGGGCCCGCCGCGGGCGGGGAGCGGGCAGCTCAGCCCGCCGCGCGCCGGGGGTGCCGCGCCGCTCGCGCGCGGTCACAGGAAGCCGGCGGCCTGCGCCTGTGGGGGGGGGGGGGGGGCGTCCCCCGCATGCTACGCCGTCTGACATTCGGCTGCACACGCAGGAGTGACCCTGTGAGGGGCAACGACAGGGGGGGGGGACTGGCATGTGGGGGGGGGGATGCATCGACCTGGGATCGGCGATACATCGCCCATAGATCGGCGATGGGCCTCCGACAGTGAATCCGCACCTTCCTGGGCAGGCTGGGGCTGTCGGGTCCCTATCGGCGATCCATGGGAGATTTGGGGTCGATGCATCCCCCCCTATGCCTATCCCCCCCTGTCGTTGCCCCCGACCCTGGGTGCAGTAGGAGCTCGGCCACAAGAAGCCTTCCACAAGAAACCTACCCCTGAGACACCAGGGCGCCCGTTGATTTTCGGCGCGGGAGCGTCACGCTTTCCATCGCAGAACCATCGAAACCCAGGGCACCCTGGAGGCAAGCAGGGTGTTTCTTGGCATGGGTTTCCACTGTAAGAGTGACCTTTTGGTGCGCGGCCGCGCGCGGGCACAGGAAGCCGGCGGCCCGCGCTTGTGGGGGGCCGTCCCCCGCATGCTACGTTTTCTAACATTCGGCTACAGTCGGCCCGTGTCAGAGGGATGCGCGATAGTAAATGTGAGGGCCCTGGAAGGCCCCTCCGAAGCCCTTCGGGCGGGGCGCGGTCCACGAGAGCGGCCAGGCATGGGCCGAGGAGGCAAGGATGCAAGGGTACTAGTACCTTTGGGAGAGTCGCTCATCCTTACCATGCGGGTCGACTGTACACGCAAGAGTGACAAAAGTCCAAGACCCCCTTGCCTCAGCCCCTGTGCGTCGGATCGGGCCGCATCGGTACGGGAGTCGAGGTCGAATGAAATCGGCCGCGCCAAAATGCGCAACAACGCCACGCAAACATCGGGCCATGTCGGATCATCGGAATGTCGGAATCGAACGGGATCGAGCCGGCCAGAAACGATGTCGAATCGGATTGATGGGATGGACAAGGACCCTAGTAGGAAAGCGGAGGGGGGGGGGCACAGTGGAGGCCAGTCCACAAGAAACCTTCCACAAGAAACCCAACCCCGAGACCCCAGCACATTCAGTGCATTCTGGCGTGGGAACGTCACGATTCCCACAGCAAAACCATCGAAACCCAAGCAACCCAGGGCACCCGGGAGGCAGGCAGGGTGTTCCTCGGCAGGGGTCTCCACTGTACGGTCGCGCAGCAGGACGTGCTGCCCCGGGGCCAGATCGCCCGAGAGGGTTACGCCATGGTGGCCGCCCTGCCCCCAACCCGACATCCGACACGAGGCCAGCATCACCTGCAACGACGAGGGAAACCCACACTGGACGGCGGGGATGCAGACAAGAATCTGCACCTGTGGCCAGCGAGCTCCGGTGCCGAATGCGCGCTCCACGTGTCAGGCACCTGATTTCAGGGGTGCAGCCCCTCCTCGCGAGCGAGCTCTCACACACACACACACACACAAAGCGAGCACGGGGGGTCCCGCGCGCGTGCTGCGTGCGGAAGAAGATGTTGTCCAGCGTGGACCCAAAACGGTGGGTCATTGCACTGGGGAGGTGGGAACTACGCGGTGTTAGATGTATGGCGAAAGCTGTGCCGTGTAAGCTGTGCGGTGTGACCTACGGAGGCGAAATATGTGCGGTAGAAGCTGCGTGGTGCAAGCTGTGTTGTGTAAACTAGGCTGTGCGAGCTGCAATTGAAACCCATGGTGTGCAAGCTATGCCATATACGCTACGCTGTGCAATTTATGCGGTGTAAACAATCGGATGTAAGCCATGGGGTAAGAGCTTCCTCGTGTAAGCTCAGAGCACGAGCCCATGAGGCGGCACGGGCGGCAACGTGGCGCAACCTCAACACACACCCCAAGCGCGGGGCGCCCACGAGGCGCCCACGAAACGGCACAGGCCCGCAACGTGGCGAAAACCCGACACATAGATTCAGCTCCTTGTGCAAGACGAGTGGGAAACCCTAAGTGAAGACACTGTTTGGGGAATGTTCGCCAGCGTGGACCCCAAGCAGTGAACTATTGCACTGTGGAAGTGACATCCTTGTTGTGCGAGCTATATGGTGGAAGCTAGGGTGTGTAAGCTATGTAGTGTGGGCTATATAGAGTGAGCTATGTTGTGTGTTGTGTGGTGTAAGCCATGTTGAGTAAGCTATGTGGTGGAAACTGTGGTGTGCAAGCTACGTGGTGTGGGCTCTATAGTGTGAGCTATGTTGTGTGCTATGTGGTGTAGGCTTTGTTGCGTAGGCTATGTGATGTGAGTTGTGTGGTGTAAGCTGGCTTGTCCAACACACGTGGTGTTAGCTACGCGGTGACAGCTACGCAGTGCAGGCTATTCGGTGTCAGCTCTGTCAGATGTGTGGCGGCTGTGCGGCGTGAGCCGTGCGCTGCAAGCTGCGTGGTGCGTGGTGCGGAGCTACGCGGTGCAAAAGCCGTGCTGCGCACGCAGGCCACACGGTGCAAACGCTCGGGGTGCCCACGGCGCGCCCAGGGCGCCCACGAGCGGGCACGGGCGCCAACGCGGCGACTCCTCGGGGAAACCCCGCCAGAGCGCACGGAGCGCCCACGAGGCGCCCACGTGCGGCTCGGGCGCCAACGAGGCGAAACCTCGGGAAGGAAACCCGCCCAGGGGCGCCCGCGAGGCGCCCACGAGCGGGCACCGGCGCCGACGTGGCTAAACTCCGGGAAGCCCAACAACAACAACAACAACAACAACAACAACAACAACAACAACAACAACAACAACAACAACAACAAACAGCGACAATGAACAACAGATGCACGAGGGCGACGTGGACTGGAGAAGACGAGCCCTTCTGTTACAGAGGGGTTCGTCATGGGATCCCAAGTTAGCCGTTCTGTAGCAGAGGGGCTCAATAGTCAAGAATCCCTAGGTACTGTCACTGATTGGGGAAAAGCGCCACGAATCGAACGTGCGGGAGCCTTTCTGTTGGCTTTGAGGCGAGCAAGCCCGCCTTCCGGCGCGCGACGCGCGACGCGTCTCACCCCTGCCGCGAGGCCTGCAGTATCGACGACAGCACAAGTGCGTTGATAAACAAAACGCTCACTTCGAACAGCTCTTGGCAAGGACGGGAGAAAACCCGAATCGGGATTCTTCGGGCTGGAGGCCAAGAGAACTGAAGTATTGATACCACCAGCCCTCTGGTCGTTGGTTCTGGGCCGGATGCTCAAAATCAAAAGTTTCCCTTAGGGAGGGATATAACCCAAGAGGGCGCAGGGCAGCCCAAGCTGGACTAAGGTTGCCTCTAGGATTATGTTGCTCCCATCGTACTTAAGGACCACATCCCAAAAATAATTTCGAGCACGCAGAAAAGTATCCGACCCCGTGTGGGTCTCTAGGCGTGTGAGATTATTTCCCCCATAAGCCACACCCTGGGACCCCAACCAGAAATTTGACCCCCCCCCTTTGGCCGCGCACGACCCCCGGCCGAACTCACCAGAGGGGGGGTCTGGCCCTCCCCAGGCTCGCTTTGGAGCTCCAAGACAGGCACTGGGACGTTCCAACAGGTCCCCAACACGGGCCCACAGGGCACATCGTGGCCGAAAAATCGTTCCAAAACGCCCACGATGGCCTCCAGACGGCCCAGGATGGCCTCCAGACAGCCCAAAATGGCCTGCAGAAGTCTTCCAAGAGAGCACCCA